TAATCACAAATAAACCTTGCTTTAATCAGATTACGCATCATGTTCGGACTTATTTTATTTCATTTTAAAAGACGACGTATCTTGTATCTTGCTACTTGTGACTTCAAAATAGAACAATATAACAATATGGTAACAAAAGGCAATTATTTTCTTGTTTACAAGAGAGTTTTGTCCGATAAATTTTTGACACGTGTTAAAGGTGCTATCAAATACACAAAATATATCGGTGCAACCGGTTAAAACTTTAGTTGTTTAAAAGTACTATATTTATATTATGCCAAATTTATATTACGCTGGTATTTCTGAGAATAGTGCAATTATAACAACTTTAGTTTCATGTATAAGTGTTTAAGCCTTAAGTATTATTTTCTAAGTGTTCAAACGATCGTGTGTGGTAAAGTAGCGTTAATGTTATTATTTTATCTCTGTAAATGTCACATGAATAACTTTGTTTGTTTGTTTGTTTGCTTGTTTCATTTTACGCCTTTTTCAACAGTATTTCAGTCATATAGGCGGGTAGTTCCCTAACCATCGTTCCTGGAGTTACACCAGTACTAGACTACCTTCCTCCGCGCTTAACTACCAAAGCATCTCCCGGGGATCGAACCCCAGCCAGAGAGGTAACTGGATTAGAAGTCATCGACTCTAACCCCTCGACCACGGAGTCGGTAAACACATGAATAACGCAAATACTTTGAAACAGTTACTATAAAATCTAATATGTTTCTTTCTCCTTAATTATTTAATAATATAATGTTTAATAATGAGATGCATGCGGTGACTTATAAAAGATGTGTAGGATAGTTAACACATTACAGGTTAAAATAATAATTATTATGTGTACTGGCAGAGAGCGAATTTTTCAATTAAAGTGCAGACCAAGATCAGCCTGCATATCCTAGCAATCCATGGTCTGCACGGTTCGATGTCCGGTCAAACTCTTATTTTCCTTAAGAAAATGAAATAATTTCAATGGTAATTTGCATTAACCAGTACCGTCCATGAACAGGCTTGAAGGGATTCTTGAGGGATTCTTATATTCTTTATTTCTCAAGCATAAATACAACATATTCAACTAATCTACAATATGAAGTATGCTTTCGAAGGATGACATTGGAAATCACGAAAGAAATAATGTAACTCAACAATTAACTTCCTTAAGAATTATTCAAACAATATCTTTTATCTAAATTACAATAAATAAACAGGTTCATTTCAAAATGGGCAGACTGGAGAGAAAGAAGATAATGACATTCACTAGCCTTTCATATGTAAAGCAAAAATGTTATAGTGATAGCAAAACAAAAAGAAATAGATAAACAACACAACACAAAAGAAGACAAAGAAAAGAATGTTAAAATTCAACAAGATGAAAACATCCACGTCTTGTTGCAAAATAGAAAGAAAAGCCTAAACTATGTGTCAACAATAGTCCTTTATTTTAGATTATTTTGTTTTTAAAATGGAAAATATTTGCGTATGTAAAATATGCGCCCTTTCCTGTAGGAAGTTATTTCAGATTTTAATTACTCACCGAAAATTATCTGAAAACACATGTAATGGCAAGTTGTACATATGTAATGGAATGCTATTGCAGTAAAGTTTACACACTATCAATGTTAATAGTGTTGATATTTTTATATTTTTTCCTAAAAGCAAGTTTACTCCATCTTGTTCTCGATGTTGCGTTTAGATTTTGGGCCATGAATGCTGTGTTAACAGCAGCGACCTACAGATTATTGGAAATACACCTTAAATATATCTTCATTCGAATATCGAATATCGTTTTAAGATTCAATACCACTTTTCTCATTGCTCGGGGTTTGGTGCTTGGAGTTTTTAAACATTGTCAGAGCCTCGGGCGTGTGAGTTGCAATTCTTTGTCGAGCTGTTGTTACTTACACTTACACCTGCGTTATAAAGGATTAAAGATAATTAATTTGAAAGTTATATACTCAATGCTTTACAAAAGAAAACTTCCCATGTGCACGATTATCTTTTCTACAAAGGGGCTTGGGCTTAGAGTTGTACGTTGTCAGTGCTGAGGGGGAATGTTTAATCGGAATAATATTTTCGAAATTTCTGAGGATCTCCTGATCACCATCATGAATAAACAAAACACTAATGCTGTTAATAGTCTTGTCTTTTCAGAACAGGGAGTTCTTAACTAGTATATTGATATTTATTGTGCTAATCAGAGTATTTTGTGTCTTTACATTAATGCATTAACAGCACTAAAAGACAAAAATATGATTTAAAAATGAAACCAAAAGTTATGAGATCCTGTAATTTGAGTGTTTTTAGAAGTTCACAAGTCGTTTTATATCTATAGCCTTACCTGCACCTAACATAAAACTATAAGATAGGTAGGGTACTGTCTAAGACTGTGCACATTTTAGTGCACATGTACGAAATATTTGGCTTATGTATTTGCAAGAATCAATGAATTTGAATTCAAGTTATTATTTTAGATCAATCAAGTTTTGTCTAAAACTTTAAAGTTTTATATTATTATTATGCCAAAAGCCAACCTTTAGAAACTATAAAAAGGCTATTGGCATGGTATAACTTCTCGATAATATATAACTGGCTGTTAATATGCAGATATTGATGCTTTTAAAGTAGCAATTATCATTTTGGTTGTCATTTGCCTCAGATAAGATTAAAATTTATTATGATTATATTAGTTCACGGCCAAATGATTGTCTTTTACATATTGGTAATATGTATAAAAGAATGTGAGAATTCTCGTAATTTGGCTGCTATTACGTTTTTTTCTCACTTTGTGTTTACTTTATTATTTATGATATTGACCCCACCCTAGAAAAGGCTACTACCTATGGTAAATGAGATACATATTTAAAAAAGCCTTCATAAATACAATACTTAGCCATTATCAATGGTAAAATATCTACTATGGAAACCTGATCGGGAATTAGTAATTTTATGCAGAGCCTCAGAGTAAAAGGTTACACGAGTTGTTAATATACTATTTGTTTTATATATAAACATACTAAAATAAGAGCAATACCTCTGTAATTATCTGCATTGTTAATTGTTCCCTTTTTTAAAAAGAGAGATATACCTATATCTGACCAATTTGAAGGAAATTCACTGAAAGTGTACAACCTAACAAAAAGGGCTTCACAATTTAAGCAAATAAAATGGTTATATGAAAAATAAAATAATCTGCTACCAAATAACCTGTCAAAGACGATATTTAAGGATTAATATTTTTCAGGGCCTCAAAAATTAATTTCACTATTAAACAAACTGCTTTTAAAGCAGCACGCCTCCAGATTAATGCTTATTTTCAGGAAAATTTTGAAAATGTATTTAACAGTATAATATTATATAGTTACCAAAATGAAGCAACTTACACGTTATAAATGGCACTTACAACCCAAGTAAATTTCAAAAAGAGGTAAAAATATGCAAAAATTGTTCTTACTGCGTTAGTAACGCAGTAGAATTATAATTAAAAATAATGAAAAATTAGCAATTACTCACTTGCAATATATAAAATTTTACTTGAATCTTGATTTTTTCTACTTTTTCTAAAATTGTGGAACATTTTTCTCAAGTTGATTTTATTGAAAGATTTTGGCTCATCTGGAGGCGTGCTGCTTTAATATCATATTATACAAGATCAACAGTTACATTAATATCATCAGCAACACTAGTTTCAGTTTTACTATTATGTGATATCAGTGTGACACTTTACCCTATTTGTCATTCTGTTTAGATTTCTCCAGAAAAGTTTGACATAACGAACAGTTGATTCCAATTTTCCCATTAAAACAACAGTATAAGATTATTGAAATTTAAACCATAAACATGATTGTATTACTGCCAGCTAGTAAACAGAATCGTTTAAAGCAAAATAATGTAAGTATCTAATTTTTTCAGTCTTCAATCTATCAATTTGAAAGTGTTTTAATGCTTACCAAGTTGTGATTTTTACAGGTGCCAATATAGATAATAACTTCGCATTCACATTCTGATATTTGGTTATCCGTATAACCCGTTTCAAGGAACCGCTTTCGAAAAAGAAAGTTTTTATTGATTCATCAAGTATTGTACAAGAAGCGTAAAAATGTTAGGGGTTCCAAATTTTATAAGATTTTGGATAACAGAAAGAATTTGATGAAGCGGAGAAAACAAAAATAGTTGTGGAACTTCGAATCATTAAAAATGTTCGGAATATATACGTTTCTAGATGTAACATAAAAGTCAAAATGAATTATAAGGTTCTTTTTGACAATATTATTATTTCACAGACAGCTCTACTAATATGACTATAGCGGCTGTAAGGATGCGGGTCCCAATTCTTGTCTGTGTTTGCTTAAACTTCTTGTTTGTTATTTTCTTTAGTTGACTGCCTCCCGGATATAACGATATCCGGCTATATCGAAAAAAAATGATGGTCCTCTGAATATCGTTATAAGCAAAAACAAAAAATATGAAAAGCATGTAATATCGATTGGAAAATACTGCATGAAGAGTATTCATGAGAAAAAATTGACATGAATATTTCAAACTAGGTTTGATAGTCTGTACGTGAGGGACAATGAAAATGTGCAACATCCTTTACAATCCCTTAAACATGCTTTAATAGTGTTAAATGAAACATCCTAAAGTAGAAGAAAATTAATCAAGTCTAGAATTAGGGATTTTTTATGCGTTCACTTTCAGCATGTTTTTGTGTGTGTCTACAGTTATTTGTCAATATTTCACATTAACAATCTGACTGATAATGGAGTACATATGATATGATATAATTATTTTTACAGCGCATGTTTTGTATTGTGTGATGTATTCTGTCTGTTTTTGAAAGATTTTCAGATACTTAAACAGAAAGAAAAATTTGCAAATCACGCAACAGCAATACAAAAGGTACATGAACAACGTCGTTGTTATCGGGTATATATAATTATTTTACGTCCTGTTTTAAAGTATAAAGTGTCTGTATTCTTTTTTCTTTATTCATAAATCACTGGTACTTGAAACCTTAGAGAAGGATGGCTGGTTACTTTTCATTTAAAGCTATTGTGTTTCTTACCGTCTTGTGCTACTCAACAGCAAGTGAACCCGATATAGAGCCGGTATGTTCAAAATTCAAATATGACAAACAAATGTTGGAGAAAATGGTCAGAATGGAAGCTAAAATGAATCAGTGGGATAAAGAAAAGGAAAACTTTGAAGAGAACATGCTGTCTATAATGGAACATCGGAAGCAGGAAATGAAACGAGAGTTTGTGAAACAAAATCAACAAATTGGTCAAATGCTTGATGACTACAAGAAGATCCGTGAAGAACTCAAAGACAAAACAGCTCAGCTTGAAAAGTTTGCTGGTAAGTTTAACAACTTTTCTGTTTGAATTTTTATTTCTGCTTATTGGTCAACAGCTAATGCTAAATTGTTCACATCTTCAAAGAAAATTGTTTAGATAAAGCCTGGAAGTATTGACCATTGCGCAATAAACTAAAATTTACCTTATTTAATACGTTAGAAGTAACAAAGATTCATTTGTATAAATAACCAGCTAAATAAATTATGAACAAACGCCATCAAAATTGTAAAAAAGAATAAATGTAGAAACGTATTACTTAGAGTTTAAGAGAAAATAAAATTTCTAACTGATCCTTCAAGCTAGTAAATAAATTTTAAATCTTTCTTAAGGGGTAATGTTCTTCTCATTTTTATACACTTCGAATTAAACAATAACTTTCTTCTCCGTTTCTTTTACAGTTATCACTAACATATTCACAATATACTGTAACCAAGTATCATTACCATTGATCAAAATATCAATTTCTTAACATTTGTGCTTCAGGTAATTTCACAAAAACACCGACAATAGCATTTAACGCATATTTAATGCCAGGTCGAGTCTATGGCGACGGTGAAACTGTCGTCTTCTCTGAAATTTTACTTAACGAAGGTTATGGATATGACAAAAGCACAGGAATCTTTACAGCACCCCTGGCTGGTTTGTATGAATTCAGTGTCCACGTATGTAATGTCGATGCAAAGTTTATGACCGTAGCTATCGTTTATATGGATACTGAAGTTGCAGCGACAACAGAATACGAAAGCAACAGTAGCAGCTGTAGCTCGGTATTGGCTCCTGTGAAGATGGCGATTGGTGGCCGCGTGTATGTAAAGAGTACATATCATAAGAATGCGATGTTTTCTGATTCCAGACATAGAAGGCCATCTTTCACGGGTGTTCTTCTGAATATCTAAACACATATTTTGAGCAATATTATCATTTTAAGTGTCGTATGCTTGTTTCTATAATAATATTTATCTCATATCTTAAATTTTCAATAATAATTCTGTTTTGGTATGTTGATTAAAAAAATATCACAATAATCACAATAAAGTAATAATAACATTATTTTTCCGTTGTTTAATAATGTGTATTGCAATCAAATAATCATAAAAATGTAATTGATTTTTGAAACGTTTGTATCAGATTTTGATTACTGTAACATTTAATTTATGACATTATTAATCGTAATCATCTAAGAGATAGAAATTAAAATATAGACGTTTATATCACGTTTACACTTCTACTTCTGCTATGTAGACTAAGTAACATACAAAAGGCATTGACAATCTAAACTGTAAATAAAGAACTTTTCTGTAACGTTTTACAATTTGTATTTTTTTATTTAACATTCATGCCAAATGCACAGCCACACTAACCTGTCGTTTTTGATATCAGTTAATTTCAAATAAATTTTATGTCAAATAAGTATTTCATTATTAAACCGACGTATTGGGTTGTTTTGAAAGTGACATCATTGACGTACACAACATATTATACAAAACACAAAAACTACGATTTTTTGATGATCTTTTCGGTGGTTACTTAGTTTCGCCAGATGATTATTTAATAAAAGAATGATTGAATATGTTGCTTGTGTTAATTTGCTAAGTATTCTTTTATTGTGTTGTTCTTGGCTAAATTGATTTTATGTCCTGCTGCATGACCGCCGTATGGACACATCAACAGTGGTTTACACCGGCTTTGCCTTATTGTCATTTCTGATGTGCATGTCGACACAGAGACACAGGGCTGGCTAAATCTGAATCTGACCATTTTTTTTTGTCACCGATATGCAAACATGTAGGATTTTGATTATAAAAATAAGATAGAATTTGCCTTTTTTGTACTTTCAATTCATCGTCATTGTAATGTTGTAATAGCAATAAACAAAAAATATTTTAACGTATTAATAAATGGTTACAAAACAAGATAACTTAGCATATCATAACAGTGTTTCCTTTCTTCAAAATATCGTACAGAAGGTTCTGTTTTCCTTTACCGTTCCAGTTGCCTTTAAGGGTTAAGGCATCAGAATGGCAGTCACCGTTTATCCCTTTGTGATCGGAAGAGGCGAGAGTAAATGGGTCAGAATAAATAATATCCTTATGCTTAAGCAGGTGGTGTGATTTTTACCATTGTTTTGCTTTAAGCTTGTAACATCCGAGATTTGCCAAAAACATTTTCTTATGACATCAATTGTGTTTGTGCACAATCTCAATTTCTCTCAAATGATGGTGCTAACCAATAACATTAATGTCGCTGATTGTAAAGATTGTTATCCTGGTGCTAATATATTTGTTCATTAATAGAGATAGGTGACTTTTTTATCATTAATACATGAATTGAGGAAAATTGAAATGCTATGATAAGAACAGAATTGTGTAGACATTAAATGAAGCTGCTCTTGTTTACGAGCACATCTGCACAATGGGGGCATCCGTGTCCTTTGGACAAAGTTCTAGTTACCCTTGTTCTGCTATAAGCTTGTAACATTCGAGATTTGCCAAAATCATTTTCTTATGACATCAATTGTGTTTGTGCGCCTTAAAAACCTAACAAACAGATCGGAAACTGTTACATTAGGGCATTTGAATCAAATATTGTATTTAAACTTGTATTTGCATTGCATTTTTTAACCTACCAAATTTTTAGACTGAGGTTTTTGCATAGGACATGACCCGTAAGCAAATACAGAGCAAATAAAAGTAAATCCTCGACTCTGCTTGCATCAGACAGTTAAAGATAATATGTGCGCCTTGTCAGCTCTTTATCACTAAAGATGGCCACTGCATTTGCATCATATTCTTTCGTTGGTTCATGCGCGCAGTATTGCGCTGGCACAATCTCAATTTCTCTCAAATGATGGCGCTAACCAACAACATAAATGTCGCTGATTGTAAAGTTTTTATCCTGGTGGTTTATTAATGGAGACAGACACATAAGTGTGCACATAACAAAAAGAGAAAAAGTTGAGTACAAAACAAAAGGGACAAACAAAACAAAAAAAGAATATATTCAATATTATGATATGAAGATATCTAACATACATGTGGGAGCTACATTTAAATAAAAGGGCCATTAAATCTTTCAAGTATGATATCAAGCAGGATCCAGGAAGGATGGTCCAACCTTTTTATAGGGGACTAAGTTAACATCCGCTAAAGGTCCTAAAAGTAAGTATATACATACTATATAGTTCCAAGGTGAGCCCTTTCCTGTAGGAAGTCATTTCAGATTTTAATAAGTCAACGAAAATGATTTGAAAAGACATGTAATGACAAATTATACATATGTCATGGAATGCTATTGCAGTATTGCACAATATCAAGGTAAATTGTGTTGATATTTTTATCAGCTCACCAGAGCCGAACGCTCAGGGTGAGCTATTAGTCTCAAAGGGGGATACTCCGTCGTCCGTCGTCATGCGTCAACAATCGTCTTCTTCTATACAACTGCTGGGCAGATTTACCTAAAATTTGGTCTGAAGCATCCTTGTGACGGTCACACTTAAATTTGCTCATGTCATTTCAATTGGGCCCTTTAAGGGGCCAATAGAGCTAAAAATAGAAAAACCTTTTAACATCTTCTACTACAGAACAAAAAAATGGATGATCAACAAATTTTGTCTGTAGCATTCTTAGATAGTCTTTTATCAAAATTCTGGAAACAAAGTTTGCTCATATCAATTTGATTGGCCCCTTTCATTTGATTGGCCCCTTTTAGGGGTCACTAGGGCTTCAAATAGAAAAACCTTTAGACTTCTTCTCCTACAGAACTAATTAATGGATGATCACCAAACTTTGTCTGTAGCATTCTTGGGTAGTCTTTTATCAAGCTTGCTCATAATAATTGGATTGGCCCCTTTTAGGGGTCTCTAGAGCTGGAAATAGATAAAAACTTTAGACATCTTCTTCTACAGAAATAATTGATGGATGATCACCAATCTTTGTCTGTAGCATTCATGGGTAGTCTTTTATCAAGTTTGCTCAGATTAATTTCATTGGCCCCTTTAAGGGGCCGCTAAAGCTAAAAATAGAAATACCTTTAAACATCTCTTTCTACAGAACTAATAGATGGAAGATCACCAAACTTTGTCTGTAGCATTCTTAGGTAGTCTTTATCAAGTTTGCTCATATTAATTTGATTTGCGCCTTTTTAGGGGCCTCCAAAACTAAAAATAGGAAAACCTTTGAACATCATTTCCTACTGAAATTACCAAACTTTTTCTGTAGCATTTAAGGTAGTCTTTTATCAAGTTTGCTTATATTTGTTTGATTGGCCCCTTTTAAGGGTAGCTAAAGCTAAAAATAGAAATACCTTTAAACGTCTTCTTCTACAGAAGTAATGGATGGATGATCACAAATTTTGTCTGCAGCATTCTTGATAGTCTTTTATCAAGTTTGTTCATATTAATTTCATCGGACTTTTTAAGGGGCCGTGAAAACTAAATACAGAAAAACCTTTGAACATCATCTTCTTCTTAAATATTTGATGGATGATCACCAAACTTTGTCTGTAGCATTCTTAGGTAGTCTTTTATCAAGTTTGCTCATTTAATTTGATTGGCCTTGTTAAAGCTAAAGCTTAAATGCCCTATGTCAGGGCATTTCTTATTTCTTCAAATTATAGTTTAAAGATATTCTATGCTCAAATTCAATATTAGAAAATATTGACAAAAAAAAAAAAAAAAAAAAAAATATTATTATTATTAATTATGAGAATTTTTGTATCACATGTGCAGATCCATATTATATGTGTAATTTATTGTATATTGCAGTATCTATATTCATGAAAGATTCTGTATTTATTTGACAAAGTTTTATTCCCGCGTTAACGTCACGTTCTGTTTAGCGTATACTTAAACGGACGTTGCGTCATTTGTCATTTGTTATGTTATAAACGTCAATTTTTTCTGAAGAAGACTAAACGTCGAAAGCTTAAGAAAAGCGTTTGTTTTTATTGAACTGATTATATATTATTACTTTTGAACAAGAAAACAAATGTATCCACGTTATGGATCCGCAATTTAAATTGGAATGTTTAGCTGGAAAACAAATGAAATGCGGGCTTCACGCAAGATTTTTGGAAAGTTGTGTAGCTAATGATGTCATACAAAAGGTTTACAACTTAAATTGAAAGTTCACATCGGAAATGATTCTGAAGAATTTCAAGCTTCAATTAATCGCCTGTTGAATAAGGTATCTATAGAAATTATGGAGCGTATAAAAGATGAGCAGAGACGACAAGTTAAGAAGTATGGTAAGGAAATCAAGGAGGAACGACAAAGTGTGATAACAGCGATTTCTAAGGAAGATCTTTTTGAAATAGAAAAGACCATTTCCGAAACTACTGAACAGAAAAAATATATTTTAGCTGTTAAGCACAGTAAAGAATTAAAAGGTTTAATTGATCGGAAATACCCAAATATTTTTGTTTCAACGGCGTGCGGTATGCAACCTAATGAAGATCCCTTAAGTGGCTGTACGATAACAGAGCGCCAATCCATGATGAATAGGTCTACTGCAAAAGCGAGGGCACCAAACACTAAAGTGAAACGAAACGGAAATAAAAAAAAGAAAAGTATTTCCTCGATAACCGACACTAATCAGAAGACAAACATGGTAAACAAAAAGATAGTTATTCCTACGCACCAGAATGAAAGACAGAAAGACCAAGTTCAAAACCCAGAACGCAGAAACTCTTAAGATTTGAATATAGAAAATTCAAAAAAATTCAAGCCACCAGGCACAAGAAAAACATATGCAGAGGCCACAAAATAGGGAGTATGCAACCAAGATCTCCAACAGACTGTACACAATCTAATGAAAATAGTGCAGGAATTGGTAAAAAAGAACAGACGATTTATCCGAGCAACAAACAGAAACAAATGGAAAAAACAGAAGAGAAGGAAACAACAAATTTCGAAAGGTAAAGAAACATTATTTAACATATCATCGAGAAAACTTACGGAAACTGATTATTTACTATTAAGTAAAGGCTTATCATTTTGTCCTTAATCGCGAAGTCATGATAAAATTAAGTTGGCTGAAAATTCGTTCAAATTTACTAGACGCCTTAGACTTAAAGAATTTTTCGAAAGTGAAAATAATGAATCAACAGAAAATGAATATAAACAAGAACCCTTTTTTCAATAAGAAACAATCTACTTTCACGCCACCTGCCGGGAGAGATACATATTTGGATTTTTACATAGAAGCTGTGAATCAAGAGATCCTTAAGGCTGAACCAAAACGAAGGAATTATACGAATATTTCAAAACCGTAACTGGAATCATTGAAGAGTTTATCAAGCGATGAAAATATAGTTATAAAAAAGGCCGATAAATCAAGTACTATAGTGATAATGAACAAAGATGATTACATTGCAGAGGTGAATAGACAACTTAATAATCCCCTGTATTATACTAAACTCGATCATGATCCGTCATCTTCAATTCATAGCAATATTTTAAAATGTATTGATGAATTAGGTAAGGTTAACGGCAATATTTTAGATGAATTTGACATTTTTCCGGTAGATGTACGTACTCCCGGCTTTTATATTCTTCCTAAAATTCATAAGCAGTATAGTAAACAGTACCCTTTAGGTTATCCTGGACGTCCGATCGTTTCCGGTTGTAAATCTAGAACAGAAAATATTTCCAAGTACCTAGATTACATTTTAAAGCCATTAACACATAATCTACCCTCGTATATCAGGGACACCTCTGATTTTATTGCCAAACTAAAAAAACCACTTCTCTTAGGTCAGGAGAACATTACCTTGTTACGTTAGATGTTACATCTCTATATACGAACATTCCCCATACAG